CGGACTTTTTTTTTTCCCGCGTAAACCAATGATGCGCGAGAGGCCTCCTTCGGTGGAGTTGTGGAGGGGACAGTCATGCACAGCTCTGAATTTTTTCCCGCCTGCAGGAAGCGTCAGTCGTTGGCAATCGGCCTATGAGTGAGGTCATGTAGTGAGCTCTCATCAGATTCCACTAAGCTGGAAAATGACTGAACAACGTGAGCAGCAATATTACATCAAATTTTGCCAAAAACCTTGGCGATACCCGAGTGTAAACCATTCGCAAGATTCAGCAGGCTTTCGGGGACGATCCTCGAGGCCAAAAAAAGCGCGGCAGGTCCGCAGCAATATCAAAGGTCATGTTGACAGTTTTTTCGACTCTCGTGGGGTGGTGTGTCGTGAGTACGTACCACAAGGCCAAACCATCGCAAAGGAGTACTACCAGGTGGTCCTTCATCGTCTTTCTGATACAGTGCGACGCAAAACTTGGCAGCTCCATCATGATAACGCATCCGCCCATTCTGCGCATCTGATTCGGGCTTTCGTTGCCAAACATAACACTCCTGTGGTTCGTCACACTCCGTACTCTCCCCACATGGCTCCGTGTGACTTTTGGCTATTTCCCAAGCTGAAAATGCCACTAAAAGGAACCCGAATTTAGTCAAGAGAAGACATCGTGCGGAATCCGACGGACCTGCTGATGGCCATTCCAAAAGATGCGTTCCAGCAGTGTTAGGAACGCTGGGAGAAGTGTATACACTACCAAGGAGACTACTCTGAAGGGGATTAGGGTTTTGTACCTCAAAATCAATAAATTTATTTTTGCCGACCAAAGGTCTGATACTTTTTGAACAGACCTCGTATTATTGTCTGATATAATGATATATGCTGCCTGTAGCTGTTTATCGAGAAATTTTATAGAAGGAGAACAATTATTGTTAGCGGGACACGTTGTTATGAGGTATTGAAACAAATGAGTGAGATCGTTCTAGACATATTTGTGCCCTTTGTGTTAAAAAACATCAGCTTTGACATTGTTCCATCAGGGCTGGATTTACAAGTAAAAAGCCTCGACTTTCAAGGAACCTCAAACATTTTTAGAAAAGGAAAATTGAAGTCAGATTTTGTAATAAGCATTTTTTTACAAACCAACAAAATACACTTCACTGTTTATTTTGTGTAGTATTTCATTAATTTTTTTTCTAACAATTAACATAAGATCTTTTTTAAAAAAATTGATAAAACCAATTTAAAAAAAGATTTTTAATGGAATGGGTATAAAAATTTAATTAAACTTAGTTATAAAACAGAAGACTAATGAAACCTCACGTCTTTTTCTTCCAATATCTGTATTAAATCAAAGTCATAGTGTGATTTAATTCTTTTCTTTTTATGATTGACTTCTAAAATTGTGAAGGGTTGGTAAGGGGCCTTACAGAGTTCAGCTTAGGGCTTCAAAATGCTTAAATTCGGCCCTGTGTCCTACACAAAATTACTGACATTTTAAACTTTAACAAAATGTTTTAAAATTGACAGCATAACTTGTTCGTGTAAAGCTGCACAATCGGGAAACTGCCAATTCTTAACAGTCTAATCCTCTCTTTCAGAATTCAGAGCTCATAAATATAACCGATCAATTCCGAATAATCATCTGTTTTTCCCGTTTTTCGTGTGGGAATAGACGAAAATTTATATCAGGCTCTCATAAGGCTTTGAAATTGCAATTTGGAACCAACAGTAAGCATTGCTTTTTCTATCACTTTTCAACTTTACTACTGATAATACACAAGATTGAATCAAACGACCCAGATAGAATAGTTTTGTTTTTAAACACCAGAGGGAGAGCATCCGATGAAAAATGCGAATAGCTGTAATTACTTGGGAATTGATTGCACTAATATTTTCATTGGTTTTAGACTGATTTTCTACCATTTCTCACCAAGTGCTTGCTTCAGTTCTGCTTTCTTTAAGGTGAGCAGATGTCCTGCTTTTTAACAATTTGTCCCGCGTCCCACAGAGTTTTAAAAAAGTCCAGAGTTTTGGAAAGATTAAGCTTTGTCAATTATGTGTCATAAACTTATATCTTATGTTTAAGATTTGTAGATCATTTTGTATCGCATGTATCAGTACCAAGGTGTGTGTGAGCATTGGAAAAAACAAAACCCTTTGTGTTCATGGCAGACCAACAGAAAATGGTTTGGGGCATGCAGCTGCAGCAATTAAGCAGCACATGTTCACAGGCTGTCCAAATGAGCAAATATTTTATTCATTGCATGTTACATGAATGAGTTTTTCTACCATAAATAAAGTGTGGACATATGATAAATTACAATTAAGTGTTGAGACTTTGAAAGCCGTATTATGTGCGAAATATAATTTAACAAATTCTTGTGAAAATTAATTTTGTGATCAGTGCTACCCAAACCACTATTACTACTATTTACACCATAGATTTCTATGTACATGTTTTCCCCCATGAGTTTTAATACAATTTGTTTCCAATAAACATCCAAGAACAGCCAGTACATCATCATCAGATGAATGGCCGACTGACAGATTTTCCTCCTCATGTGTGGGCGATAGGAAATTCTGAATTTCCTCAAGGCCAGGCCTGTGTAGTTATTCCTCAGAGGATTTCCTTAATGTGTGTGGCCCCTTAATGTTTATTACCTCTTGCAATAATGGTCAAATTGCCAACTCCATTAGATGCAATGCACTCCCAAACCATTACATGACCACAGCCACATTTTATGGTTTTAATAAATTTTTTATTTGACTTTCACCACATATGCTTTTTCCCGTCTAAATCAAAATTATTAAACTTGCTTTCATCAGAAAATAGAAAGGCCGCGTTTCTTTATGCAGCGCTCGAGAAGCGCTTTACAGCGAACCCTCTGAAACCCGTTTCTAAATGCAGCGCTGCAATGTAGCAAACCGTTTCTAAACGTTTGCTGCAAGAGGTCGCTGCAGCGAAGATAAAGCAGCTTTTACGTCCACTACACGTGTAAAGCAAAATGGACGCTTGTGTGTATAATACAATATTATGCTGTAAAAATAAAAAAGTTGAAGTGACTGTTGATAAAAATATTATGGAAAGATTAAGAAGGATTAAATTTTATGAAATGACTCTGAAAGTTATCTAAAGAATAAGAAAATACTATATTTTAAATATAATTATATATCTTTTATCTCTTTACTTTGTTCACATTTATGGAAAGATAAATGCTCGATTCTTTATATCTCTTTATTTAAATATTGTAGTTCTTTAACTAAAGCACTATTTTCGGCTGTAAC